ACCGTTCCAAGAGTCAAGCGGTGTGAAGATGATAGCGCCAAATAAGAGTTTCTACCAGATGGTTAATATTTCCAGAATGGAAGGCCATTTACCCGGATTTAGTCCCTCAATGGTTGCCACGTTGTTTAGACCAGCAAGCTGGCGTGAAGAGTATCTTTGATATAGGGAGCTTAGGTAATTTTTGAATTTGGCCAGATCTAGTTCTGTTCCGTTCATAATGATTCCGGTTTTTGACTTGTAGAGCCGGAATGGCAACGATTCTCCCCCTGACGAAAATATTGTATCTAGTTAGGGACACGAAGTCACCTGGATGGTCGAGCGTTGGGCAACTAACGATAGAGTCAAACTATAACAGCTGGTAAGCTTGTAGGTTAATATTTTGGCGGCCGGGAGGATTCCTTTCAGCAGGTGAGTATACTCACGGCGACCGAGAGGATTCCTCTCAGCCGGTGAGTATACTCTTGGCGGCCGAGAGGATTCCTCTCAGCCGGTGAGAGTGTAACCTCTCAACGGCCGAGAGGGTTTCTCTCGGAGGCCGAGAGTGTAACCTCTCAACAGCCGGGAGGAATCATCCCGGCCGTCCCTTTTTTTTTTTTTTTTCAGCGCCGACTCCAAACCCCCATGGGGTTTTGGAGTATTGACTCCCAAAAACCCCCGAGGGGGTTTGAAAAAATAAAAATAATAAGTATTATTTTATTAGGGAGTCGACTCCCAAACCAATCGAAGGGTTTGGAGGTCCGACTCCCAAAAAACGGGGGAAAAAAAATTAGGGGGCCTGACGTCCGGAGGACTGTCCGCAGACAGTCCTCAGGACGTCCCCAAAATTTGGGAGTTGGAACTCCAAATTTTGGGAGTCGTTTAACTAAGTCCCTAAAAAATCTTTATCTGTTGGTGTTTTTTTTCTCCGGCACCCTTACTCAAATAGGATCCCTTTACAAATAATCAGTAAGTGATTTTTTTGATTTCCAGTTGTAGTAATCAAGAGAAAGTTGATGAGATTATTAAAATTTGTATTCAACTTTGATTAGATTCAAAGATTTTATTAAGAACCACAAAACTTACAAAAAGAAGGCTTGTTTTGATCAAGTGTCATAAAGTTAAGTTTAGTATTGCACAGTTCCTTGAGTAAAAATCAAACCAATCAAAAACATCTGACCAAATTTAGATATAAATTATTTACAGAACATTTCAGATGTTTTGTCACTTTGTCCCAATAGAGAGCTTCATGACCTGTTAATTTTTGAAATCAACTGTTGAAATTTGTTGAAAGGAATTTTTGCTGATTTCATCAGGAAGTGAGTTTGCAGGGTAGCTTTCTTCAGGATTCACAATCCCACATCTCAATCTGATTAGAGATGTTGCATGATATGTCAACCTCCCAAAATCAGAAGCCGAACCCGCAGTTAGATAAAGCCTGCCGGCTCCTTTCCAGTCCTTGAGGCATTTTTAGCGCATTTCTGTCTGGTTGTTTCAAGTATCACATTGTACGCAGACCTCACAGCATTTGTCGGCTGATACTCTCAGTTTAAGTTCGAACGTACCGCTATTGGTTTTCGTTGTTTGTGATGATTTGACTTGCTCTAAAATTTGACCATGTCCCCCCCTTATTAAGTGATGTCGTAATGTTTTTTTCACTGCGGGCCCCGAACCCTACGATACCATCCGGGAAACTCTTCCCCTGGCTCAAGAAGCTGACTAGAAGGGTCTCCGCAATCTTTTGTTATGGTTTCATTCATTTTTGCTACAGTTTGAAGTCGGAGATGTGTATCGCCATCCGATGTATGTGAACAGCATTTGTCGGAGTTTCTACCGCATGCCTGTGAGCAGTAGCTTAATTACGAGTCAACTGCAGTTTTGCAAGGAGCATCAGGAAGTCAGAAGGTATTCTTCAAGTGGCTTTGTGTTCAAGCTATATTTTATTTTGACTGAAAACAAGATTCGCAACCTCAGCTTTGCGACTCCAATCATCCAATGTTTCGATTTCTCTTCTGTTGCTACTTTTTACTGCTGATATCCTTCTCCCCAATCTGTAGTACCACTCTTGCTTCAGAGGGATACGCAGAGGAATCACCGACGTGGAAAATCGGTGACGATATCTGGAAGGGCATTGAACCCTTCAAATTTGATAGTGTAACAACCTGCCTCAGCAAGCCATGGGACACTGAAAGTGGATTTCATCATGATTTGCTTCAGTTCAACGACCCATTTCATGTTGTTCAAGAGCAACATGATCAAACCTGTGGTGATATGGGTAAGTTTTTGGTGCAGCTTATCAGACAAACCTCTCAACATTTTTTAAGTAAGCACGAGTAGGAGGGGGAATGTGCTGACGTTCAAACCACGAACCATCAATTTTCTGCTAATGGCCGGGCAGTTCACTTCAACCAACCGGAAAAGATCGAAATGAAATCACTCCCACTGTTGGCCAGCTCATCGGAAAAGGTGGTGAATCACAGTCCAGAGCACACTCAATACAATGGTGAGTGGGAGAAGGATATTATTTCCAAGCAAATCTGAAAACTGAATGCTTCGTTGAAAATCTACAAAACCATCCTTTTAGGTCAAACACCTGGCTCAAACAGATTCATAGAGCAATTTACTTCGGCCCCTGCAGCTACCAATGAATATCAGAATTGTGAACTAACTTCTTGTGATGGTCAAGATAATGAACTTTTGAAGGCGGATAAAGAATCCCACAATATAATGGATCAGTTGAAAGTGTACAACTCAAAGGTTAGCCCGAAAAAGAACAAATTGTATGATGGCATTTTCCAAAACCACAGGAAATTCCGGATGAAAGATATCCAACCTGGTTTTCTGCACATCTTCATTCAAAGATTTTCGATACAATTTGGAAACCTAGAGGAAGAAATGAAAAAGTGCAGATTTATAAAAGATATTCCTTTTGGCAAGCTGCCGATTGTTGCCAGCTCACGGTTTATCCGTCCGATCGAGCAATCAACTCACAAGTACATTCAAAATAAAGATTTGACCAAGCGGATAAAGAGATTAGTTTCCTGGCTAATTTATATAAACACCGCTACTCTCAGAAAATTTCTCCCGAAATTCAATCGAGAGAATGAAATGGAATCGCATAACAAATTAATTGATTGGCTGATCCAAGAGACTTTTGATCCTGAATCCGGTGTTCCTGTTATGGGAATGATAAAGGCAGATAATTTTGTCCAAGACGAACGTGCGTTTCAGAAACATCAAATTGATCTAATTCAATATTTATCAAGTTGTGTTTTCAACCCTTTAGCCATCGGAACGGCTTGCCGTCTGGTCTTGGTTTGGTATAATGACAGTCATCCGAACATAGCAAGTCTGCTAAAGGGTTCTGAGCAATCCAAGATTGATTTCCTTGTAGATGTTGTCTTGACAAATGCCATCAGACACAAAATTGGATTTATAAAAGAAGTCGGGACTTTGTGTCAATGTGGAGCTCAATTTAGGGAATTGAACATGATTGGGTTGGAAGAATTTCCTAAAACTTTGATACCACAGAGAAATTTTCCCAACATTGGCTTACTGGGTGTCAAGGAGACTAATATCTTGAAAAAATTGAATCGAAATGTCGCATTACATGCCCTACAAACAAAGCTCGTCAAAAATTTGAAGATATTCCAATTTATTTGCTTTGCATTGAATCAGTACAGTTGCTCAGGATTTCAAACAAATTTCATGAAAACATCAGCACCAATACAATTTTAGACAAATGCAGAGGTCTCCTGAACTATCTAATGCTCTTCCATCAAGTTGTGCTGAGTCATATATTAAAAGGAAAATGGCCAATACAAAGTCAAGACACAAAAGATTTCCATTCCCACTTTCTAGATTGGCTTTCAAATGAACTTCTTCAACCTAATCGGAGTCTTCCAGTATTTGGAGAAGTTGTGAATAAAAATCAGCCACTGACAAGATCAAGATTTGGAGAGGTACAACAGCTCCTGATAAATTATTTCAGTGAAAATAGAGCACATAAAATGCTACCAGAGGTTTCTAATGCATTGCTTGAGTATTGGTATAGGAAACAAAATTTCATTCAATGGTCACATCTTTTTCAAGATGAAAACCCATTTGATAAAAAGATATTACTGGACATCTTGAAAAAAGAAGAGGATTGTTTTGAAGGATTTAAATACAAAAGGAGAAGAAATACCATTAATATGGAAATAAAGCATAAAAAGATAAAGCAAGAAAGTTGGTGATTCTTCACACAACATTCACATTAATCAAGTTAAACTGAATATGGCTCTTCCAATCTATTAATCATGGTCCAGATATCCAAATTAATTATGCTACTCTATGAATGGATTGTCTTCCTTTTTATTTAAGTTCTATCTGATAGGAATATTTCCAGATGGATAGTGCAAAAGAAAGGAAAATAATTAGGAGTAGATGTGATATACAAGTGGATGTAAAGCAGAAATATCAGAGATTGATTTCATTGTGATACTAAAGATTTTTAAGAAGAGCTGTTTTCTCATTAGAGGGGGAATACTAGGGACCAGATACACAAGAACTGATTATTGTATTGATTTGAGGTACAATAGGTCCAAATAACACTAACATTAATGAGGTAGATGTGAAAAATCAAGAGAACACACATATTCTTGATACAAACAGAAAGTAAAAGGTGCAACAAAAAATCAAAGATTAAACACACTGTAATTTGATTTATAAACAAATATCTACAATTATTCTAATGTTTGAAAAAAACAATCATTGATGTAAGCAGAAAGAATGGAAAGAACTGGATAATGTTGGCCTTAGCCTCAAACCAATTTGATAACCAACCCCAAAAGATTATCATAAGGATGTATAAATTTATTCACAACTCAGGTAAAAATTCAATCTCAATAAATCTAAATTGTAAATTAGAAAATGGAAGTTGTAACTAGTATAATTTAAGATATTTGATCACTGTATCAATATCTACCAAAAAATCACTCTATGCAATATAATTAAAATTCTCAAACAATAATACAATTCTTGACAGCGGTGGGCATCTATGCTACACTATGCTACAGGCCCATTTAGTGTTAGCGTAGCGGTGCTACCAGCTGCTGTTTTTTGTGTAGTGTTAGAGCGCTAAAATAGCACATTTTTGTGCCCCATGCGTGTAGTGTTAGCACAGAAAAGGAGAAAAGTTCTAATGCTACACTCAATTGTAGCGTTTTTTTGCTACACTACGCCAGGCTAACCCTACAGTTAGCGTAGCTGGCCCACTGCTGTTCTTGATTACTTGAAAATAAATGTGTTGCAAATTCAAGATAATTTTGTCTCTTTGAAACTAAGAAGGGGAAAATTGGGAACTGTTGGCTCTCCCAAAGGTTGAATAAGCTAACTAAGGCTATCAGCACTGCACAGATACTTATATCAGTGGTGGGCCGCTACACTTTTGGCCCAAAAAGTGTAGTGTAGCGGCGCTTTTTTGCACCAAAAATTTGTAGTGTGAGCATTTTTAGCGGATTTTTGCTATGCTATGCTGCACTACAGGCCGCTAACAGTGCTACAGGGCCAAAAAACCACTAACCAGCTTGTTAGAGTAGCGTAGTGGGCCCTTTTTCGGGGCCTTTGCACATAATGTTAGTGCAGATGTGGCGGAATTCCGCTACACTACACTACAATAACACTACAGTTAGTGTAACTGGCTCACAGTTGCTTATATTTCCAAATTTCAAAGTGGTATGGGTCTGCACATTTATGGTCTTCAAAGTTAAATTTCATAAAATCATAACCACATAAATCGTAAGATCTTAAAACCTTGTTTGCAGGGGATCTTGGTAATATGATTATGTAAGCTTTGGCCTTCCCAGCGAAAATAGTTTTATTATTATATGATTTATGCGCTTATGAATTTATGAAGTTTAACTTTGAAGACCATAATTGGCAAACTTGCTGGAAATGGGTAGCATTTTGTTGAAACTGTGACTCTGATTGAATGAGACAAGAGGAGGAAGAAACTGGAAAAGAAGAAATCTCAGGACACAGAGCAAGAAGAACAATTGTTGAATAGCCCTCAAAGAGGGGATAAAGTCTCCTAGATTGTGAGATGGAATTAAAGAACTCTAACTACAAGTGGCTGTATGAGTGGCCACAGGGATTGGAAGCAGATAAGGGTGGGCCAAACTTAACACAAGTCCCTCCGAGGAGTCGTGTTGTTAATTATCACTTAACTTTCACTCCTTTATCCGTGAAATACATGTACCACAAGTCATCCCTGCTCTACAGTATTTTCACGGTCAAATATCATTAAAAATAAATATGTACATGTATTGAATAGTAAGTATTGAGTGTTAATAGAATTAATATATTCAATACATGCACTGATCACAATTATGACTAAGTTATTAGAGGATCTGTTAAGTATACACATCAAGAGCAACTATTATATTGATCAACTAGTAAACAATCATGATGACACTCACAGATCATGAAAAATAATGATCAGTCACTCAATTGATGTGCTCACTCTCCTGGCCAAAGCTCCCCTGATTCTGAGCACTCATTCTTTACCTCCTTCAATGTTCTAGAACTTATAATCCGTGCCTCTTGCACTGATTAATCCCCAGAATATTCAGACACCAGTTAAACCAGTTAACATTTATATTGATACAGTATACGTAACCAACATAAATCTAGTCTACCTTTATTGTTCTTAAGCTTCAGTACTTTTACTCAACTTATCCACAATATTCATAGCCTTGCTGAATATTCCCATCAACAATACCTGTTAATCTTCAACTAATTCTGTTAAAGCTTAATAAGTATTGTCAGCCCATTCCCTTTTGGGAATAACCAAATCAATCCCAGGTGAGTCCTAGTACCCTGGATGCCTATTAATACCCTGTATTGATCCGGATGCGCTGTTGATAGCAAGCCTCTCAGTAAAAACCATACTGATAGAGTGAAACCTCCTCTTTACAGGACTGGTATTAATCACCCACTACATAACACTCACCACGCTCAAACACTTCAGTCAACTCATAGTAACAACCTTTTACTATAAAATACTCAGGTTAGTTACCTAGAGGCTGACACGCTGTGGTATGTCCATACCTTTCCATTTATCCTCATTTTTCACATCATTTTACATATATTCTTCCCAGTATTATTTCATATTCAGATTCTACACATCATTTCACCCCTAGTCACCTCTTACAGCTTTTCAGTAGCTCTTATAGTTCTCTAGTTATCATCTCTTCAGTATATTCATAGTTACAGAACAGTACATTACTTCATACATACAGTACATATACATTACACATCATCTAGTTACAGTATCTATGTAATATCACTCCTTCATCATAGTACATCATCTTAACTACACTACATCATATACATATTTCTCTTCACACAGCTTTGACTTTCCATCTATGATTAGCACTTGTATACACAGAACATCTATCTCTAGGTTACATTATTTCTCATCCCTCATTACTGTTTAAGATTTACATTACCCATAGCCAGGATTTCCCCCAGCCATGGTGCTTTGCTGTTGTATGTACATGTTGTACACATATATACTCTTCCTTCCTCCTCATGTATTTTTTTCCCTCATGTGATTTCCATGCATGCTTTATGTTAGTCTATCCATAGTTTTAGTACTAGAAATTATCATCACCCTTATATCCTCACCAGATATCATTGCCAGTTATATTTGCCAGCTATACTTTGCCAGTTATAAACCCCCTTGCCAGTTATAAATCCTCATTTGTCAGATCATCACCCTTTGCCAGTGTCATTCCTCATTGCCAGTGTTACACCCTTGCCAGTATTATCCCATCACACCTCATTGCTCCTCCTCCTCACACCCCAGTAGGTACTACATACACAAGCTCATCAGTAATAGTAGACTAAGATAAAGTAGAAATCAGCCACACCTCTATTCTTCTTTTTCTTAGTGTTACACTCTTCCCATCAGCATTGTACAGGAGGGCAGCCTCATCAGCACCTGTAGTCTCAACTTACATTAGTACTAGTGTAGTTGTCTATATCCCCTCCAAGCTCTATCTCCCTGGTTGAGTAGTTCCAAAACGTGTAGCAACCTCCTTGGAGGGACTTGCATCAAAGGTGTCATGTCTTGCCCTACAAACTCCAGCCAAATGGCAGGAGAAATGGTCCCCTCACCCATGTTGCCCGGTACTCACCTGTTACAATTTGTTTCTCATCCTGAGGATTTGACAATCAGAATTGTGGGCTTCTCATCTTATTTTCAGCTGCTTCGAACTTTTGAATATCCCTCCTCCCTGGCAAGAGACGTCCTGTAAAGTTGGTGATGTTTAAATATTTTGCAAGCAATCCTCCCTGATTATGGCCGGATATCCTATCGGGTATATCTGGTCCTAATAACATACCTGGAGTCTGTGTTGTACTGTTGGAACCTGTCAGAACTCATCCAAGGAAATACAATGTTGTTGTATTGAGGATCGTATACTATGCATTGGCCATGATATGATTTGTGATCTGATATCCGCAAGCATAAAAAATTTCAAATTGAGTTACTTCACAAAATAAGGAAACTCACTGAAGAGGAAGTGAGCTTCACTGGTAGTTATTGCAGGATGATATAAGAAAAACTGCGGGATGAAAGCTGAGATGGCAGGCTACCAATCTGTCTATTCAGTTTTTTGCAACTTGGCTCAGCGTATTTTGAAGAAATGTTGATGAAATTTCTAGAAAACAAAAATATGAGTGAGATTCTGTGAAAAAAGAAAACAGGATGAAAACGCGACAAAGGCATACCACTAATGTAGATGGAATGATGCAGAAGAGTGAGTTCTTTGAGAAAGAGAGAGCAGAGAGCGAGCAAGATTCTGAGACAGAGAGACAAGAATCAGGAGAAACAAAGATAAGAGAAAGTTCAGTTTTTCATCATCAAACAACAGAAGAGAGGTGAACAAGGAATGGAAAACAAACAGAGCAGAAAGAGCAAGAGATCCTCTTTGGAGCAGAGAACAATCTAGAGTGATTAAGTAGATAACCAATGAAGACTAGGGATGTTGGAGGGAGAAGGCGTGTAAGTTTTTTTCAGGCAGAGAGTTGAGAGTTAGTTGGGGATAACTTTACACTGGGAACTTGATCCAGTGTCGGCAAGCGTAGGAGTTTGAATTCTTGATCAAAGTGAGCTAGATATGAGGATGAGCCTTGTAATGAAAAGCTTGAGTGAGTGAGCAAATCTTGACAAGGTTAAGGAAAAAGAAGGGGGAGATGTGGATTGAGTGCTGTTTGTCTTTATTGAGGTCTAATCCTGTCAGCCTTAGAGATACTTCATAGTATCCAGAAGACTGCTAAAATATTAAATACTCAATATGTACTATAATATGTAGCAATAGGGGGTATTAAAAACAACCAAATCCACCATTATTTAATTGACTGGTTTGAAAAAATCCACACTTTTTCAAACATGTTGGTTATTCATTCAACCGTTTTTGGGGCCCATTGATGCAAAAAAAAGTTTTTGGAAAAGTGACTGGTTTCAAAAGGTGGATTTCATACATTTTATATCCCCTAATATTATTTAATAAAACAATATTTTATAAGATTATAAAGGGGGTTGCCCACTGGAAGTATCCCCAAATTCCCACTCCTTCAAAGACTTCGTATATATTCAAACTCTTGAAGGACAAAAGGAATAAAAATATAAATTATAGAACAAAATTAATGTATATTAAATTAGGGTTAAATATACATCTAAGGTAACCTTAGAAATTTTATTCTACAAACATAATCAATTTATTAAAACTTGTAGAAAAGAAATTACCACACTATGTCAAGAGTGTGGCACTTTCTACTAGTAATGTTCTATTTAAGGAGACACATGATGTAATTGGCTATAAACTGTTAGAATAGTCACATATGCTTACATACATATGCAATATGCTTCTACTATAGTTGTACTTATGGCAGTGTACTTAGTTTGACCCATGCTTAGTTCCCAGCCTGGTTCCTCACTGAATCCATACCACCATCTTTATTGTGTCACCAAACTGTCACAAGACTTTTGTCTGTGACTTCAGTCCTGCGACCCTGTGCCCCTCAACAGGTTATGATCCCTAGTCGCTTCAGCTCCCAACACCTCTCCAACCTACTCGATATCTCGTCAACCAAAAGCCTACACGATGCCATACACATACCGTTGGTCCCTCAATTGGATGGAAACTTGGTAATGTTTACATCTTGGAGGTCCCGACTCAAAGACGTTCTCGCGATCCAGGGGGTGATGGATATTGTCCAAGGGAAGATCCCTTGTCCGCCAGCAGAATCACCTGATGCTAAACCAATTGTTTGCACCAAGCGCGGCTGGAATCCGCAGGACTTTTGCTCAGACTGGGACCACCTCACGGATACGGCTCGCTTGACTATAAAGCTTACCCTATTGGTCGATCTATCTATCCAATATTGCAACTTGAAACCAGCAAGTAAATTATACAGTGTGATTTGTGAAGCTTACGAAAATAACACTGGGGCCCGTCAACTTGCCCTTGAGGATCCTTTTTGGACAGCTAAACACGATCCAAATATCCCTATTGCCAAGTGAATAGCTTGTTTGTGTAATGCTGCAACCGATCTGGCCACGGTCAAACTTACGCCAAACGATGTGGAACTTTTCAAGCTAAAGAAAAGAGCTTAGAGGGGAAAAGAACAACTACACAGGGGAAAATGTGAGTTGAAGACTTGGATGCTGATGAAGCTGCCCTCTTGTCAAGGCTTGGGAGAGAGTTACACTAAGAATTAAAGAAAAGGTGTGGCTATTTCTGTGGGTAATCTTAGTATGAGATTTATTACTGATGTCTTGTACAAAGTCACCTGCTGAGAGATTGAGGATGTGGGGGATTCTGGTAAGGATGAGGCTCTGGGGGATAATGGTTTCTGGGTTCAATTTCTTATCTTCTGGGGGAAAATCAATAATAATTACTTCTGGTAATTACTAGTAAGTGATGTCTGCTAAGTAATTATCTGTTTACTTCTCTAATGCACGCATGGGGAACACAGTAAGTGGGAAAGAGTCTTCTCTATATACATGTGGGTGGTTCTGATCAGGTACTAGTGGTAAAATATCAGCTGATTTAAGAAGATGGTATGAAATAAGTTGTATCTGAAAGACAAGTGGTTATGAAATAAATGTGGCTGACAAATGTGTAGTGTGAAATAAACATGTTGAAAAGGAGAAAATATGAAGTAACTTCTGTTTGTGATAAACATAATATGTAGTGCAAAAAGAAATGAGATAATAAAAGACTGAAATAAATAGGGGGTTGGAAAAACGACTCCCAAAAATTAGTCGACGACTCCCGTTTTGGTCGAGGGGTCGTCGGCTGGGAGTCGTTCTTCCAAAAGATGGCCGACTTTGGGAGTCGGCCATCAAATGTTTTTTTTATTTTTTTAATTTATTTTTGGGGAGTCGGCGCCCCAAACCGCCCCTCATGCTTAAGGGGGTTTGGGAGTCGTCGCTCCCGCTCCCATGACCGACAAGAAAAAAAAGTCTTATCGACCCGGAAGGGACTCCTTCCGGTCGATGAGCGTCTATCGACCTCGTCTGCCAGTGCATATTCTTGCTGCACATCGACATCAGTCTCAACACATAAACGAAAAA